TCGTTGCGGTTCGCTTATTCCTGCGCGGAGATCGCCGTCGGGCCGGTGGAGGGCTCTTTGGGGCTACCATAAAAGTCTTTACGTTTTTGCGTTCGGGGCGCGGGTTCAATTGTTTTTCATTTCCGCGGGCCCGCGCGAGCGCGATTTCCTCGACTCCAACCGCTCTGCCCGTTGTTTTTGCCAGCCCTCAGTGTTACCAGCTCCCCCGTAGAGCTGAATGTTGAAGCGTCGCATTTTTTCGCCAGCGCGGTGGCCGACAAGACTGCAGCGGCCTTGGCCCGCCGACAGATGTAGGAAGCAGATGTCCACGGCGATCGGGTTTGCAGTCAGGAAGCATATATCAGAAGGCTTCCAGCAGCGTGATGGAAAACAATTCGTATATGTAAGCCCAGCAGAGGTGACGTTGCCAGTGCAAGGCGGAAGAAAGAGCGGAGTAGCAGGCTGACAGCTCACCATGGAGCGTGGCTTTGTGGCTCCAGAGTTCGACGCACGGAGCGCGGGGGATCAGCGCCGCGCAGAGAGCTCGAGGCTCCTCGACACTCCGCGCAACGCGGGCCTCATGAAAGATGTCGCCCTGACACCGTCAGGCCCCCGAGTTTTTAACGGCAGGGAGTTGCGCGCTACACGTGCGATAGGGGCCCACCAGGGACGCGGCATTTTTTGTTTTTGAAACGCGGCTCTCACGCGCAGGAAGGCGCGAGGAATTTACTCAATCGTTGAGAGGGCAAGCTTTGCAGTGCGATGTCAGCGAGCTCTCAAACGATTGCAGCAGGGCGAAGTTCCAGCAGTTGAGTCCACGGAGACATATAGAATTCTTGCCAGCTGCTAGCTAAGATGAAGGCCAAGGGTTGGAAATCACAGAAAAATGATTCTCACCTTCGGGGCTCGGCGTCATGAGGAAATCATGACGTCGGGAATGCGGGGCCTGAGGTTTTCGACAATTCTCAGGGGGCCTCGAGGGGCTTCGAGGAGGTTCACGGATAGAGGAGCTGGAGTCTTGCGCGGCCTCTGGAGGAGGGAGGTTCGAGGATCGAGGTGTTCGACAGTTCGCAGGAGGCCTCGAGGAGGTACAAGCAGGTTCAAGGATCGAGGAGCCGGAGGCCTGCGCGCCCCTGCCCAGACGTCAGCGTCGTGGGCCCCCCAGAGGTTTGGACGCCTTCCCCGGGATTGATTGTTTTCCGAGCCTGGCAGGGGAATCGCGAGGAGCGGGCCCCTGGGCCCTCGCCTGTTCTGCATTTTCGCTTTCTGCCCGCGATTGTGGGCTGGCGGCTTCTCCGCCTTGCTGCGGTCGCCGCCTTGCAGCCGCCGCCGCTTTGCTGCCGCCGCCCAGGAGAGCCAAGGGCAGCCAGTCCTCGCGCACCAGGCGCTCGCGCCGTCACTCGGCCCCCCGACGGGTGGGGGGCGCCCGGGGAAGCCATGTGCACTAGGCGCTCGCGCTTGCGCTGGGCTCTCCGATAAGGAACGGACGGGCAAACCCACGGCAAACCCAAGGCAGCCGCAGTTCCTGGGTAAGGAACGGGCCCCTGCATGGACAAGGCGAACCCACGAGGCAATGTTCGGCTCCCTGATAGGGGGCGGGCCCGTGCCTGGACAGAGCAAACCCGCGCATTCAGCTGCAGTTCCTGGACAAGGAACGGGTTTCTGCTTGGACAACGCCCCCCCCCCCCCTCCCCCCCCTCACGCGCGGCATGCGCTCGGCCCCCCAAAAGGGTGCGGGCCCCTGCCTGGACAAGGTAAACCCAAATCGGCCGCAGTTCCTGGATAAGAAACAGGCCCCTGCCTGGATAAGGCAAACCCACGCGGCAGCCGCAGTCCCTGGACAATGGGACAGGGCCCTGCCTGGACAGGGCAGATCCGCGCGACCCGGCGCAAACCCTGGACGGGGGTTGGCCGCCGGCAGTCCAGAGGGCGAGCCAGCTTCCACAGGTCGCTGCGGATTGCTTGGACAGGGTAACTGCGGCGACAGTGGATAAACGATTGTTTTTGTCCGCCCCCCCAGCCCGATTTCCTGGTTCGGCCGGTGCATTGCCCAGGTGGTGTTGGGGATGTGTTGCATTGTCCCCGGATGCCCAACCGGCAGTGCGTCTGCCGCGTTGCCCTTCGTCTCGCACGAGGGCGCCAGCTGAACTCTTTGTGACTGGCTGCCGTGGCGATTTCATTCCCGAGTCGTTCATTGACCGTCCCAGGGCTCACCTGTCTTTTAATTGTTGTCGCAATGAGAGGATGTCAGGGCCCTGGTGGGGGTGATGAGAAGTTGGCTCGAGGTCGTAGGTTCCCGAGCGCTGTTTGGTCAGCTCCTGGCCTTTAAAAGGGCCTTGTCGACGCGGCCGCCCGACGTGGCCTCCGCGGGACCTCCAGGGCAGACTCCCAGAGAAGACCTGGAAGCCCCCTGGAGGCCTGCGCGCCCCTGGGGAGGGAGGAGCTTCGAAGACTTAGACCTCGCGAGCGGTTTTTCTGTCCGATCCTCGGGTTCTGCCCGAATTGTTTGGCCACTTAGAGAACCCCTATAGAAGATGGGCGCCCTCCAATCTTATATCCTTTTGGGCCCGAAATTTTCAGGCCATTCGGAATCCCACGAAGCTTGGAATATGAGTCGACGTATTCCCTGTTAAGACCCCCTCGCGTCATGCACGCATGACGACGGCCAGTTTTTTGCTATTGTCGCCCAGGGCCTTCGCCAGGCCCCAGGACCGCAATTCAAACGTACTCGGGATGAAAAAGCAATGCTTGGGAAAGGGTCGGGACTTCCAGGTGCCCATGTTTGAAGGCCTGTGGACTGTGGCTTCTGAGCGTTTGGGGTTGTTTTTGGGCCGGGGAGGGTCAGAGATTTCCAAAGAAGACCTCTGGAGGCCTCATGGGGCCTCCTCTTGGGGGAAATCACGCATTGAGCAAATCATCGACGTGTAGTTGTTCGATGCATGTTTAAGAGGATGGGCGCGGCGCCAGGGCGAAAACTATATTTTGACATCGGTTTTCCCACCACCCGCGAAGCTCGCTGACACTTTCGGGGCGAGTCTTCGCGGCGCTGCGCGAGTAGCGTTTTGACAACGGGCGGCTACACTCGGATCTAGGTGTAAGATCTAGGTATCTAGGTCGATTCGGGGAGGGTGTGCTAATATTTGTTTGTGCTTGCTGGATGTTCTCGTGCATCCTGGGGAGGGTACCCTTGGATGTTTTGTCTGTGTGGGCCGCAGGAGGGCCTCATGTTCTTGAAGAGTGTTTTTTGTCTGGCCCAGGGCCGACTGTAAGGCGCGGCGCTAAAGGGAACGCCAACGTTTGACATCGAGCCGCCGCCTTCCTGCAGGTTGTCAAGACGAGTGTGCGCGGCGATCGGGCGAATTGGGTCGCATTCCCATCCTCATCGTCTTTCTTCATCGTGTCGCTCTCCCCCCTCCTTTCCTCTCCTCCGCCTTCTCTGGTCCTCCTGCTCGCCCCGCTCCTGATACCCTAGCTCATGCTGCTGCTGTTCGTCCTCGTCGCGTCCTCCGCCCGTTTCCTCCTGCTATTCCTTCTTTTCTTACTGTTTATCTTCCTGCTCATCCGCCACCTCCTCTTCAAATGTACGCAGCTCCCCACGATGGAGTCCTTTTTGGAGTTTCAGTTCCTGTCTGATACGCGTCCGCGGACAGGGACACATCAGCGCCGTGGGAAGGGATGGCTGAGAGGGGTAGGATGTCAGATATGGCGCGAGCGCATCTACGGTCGAGCATCTGATTAAGAACCTCTTGCCGAGAAGTTGCAGCAGCGTTTCTAAACCAACTTGCTGGAAAGCTGGCCCAGTTTCTCGAGCACCTTCACCACTCCAGCGTAAACAGAAGTTGGCCCAGGCTTGTTTCAAGAAGCTTCCAGAAGGCTAGATGTCCATGCTCATATTTCTAGGTGTATCCTCCTTATTATTCCTTTATCTTCCAGGGCCTCTTGCCATCTCCTCTGCGTTCTCGACATCGTGGAGGCGCACCGGTCTGTTTCCCCGACCTCTTCCAGGACATACCGTCTCCACTTTCTCTCTGCTTCCGCTCTGATTTCCCGACTTCGTGAGGACGCTCGAATAATACAAAGTTGTACAAGCACGTACTTTCAGAGGTCCGCTCCGATTTCTTGGATCTGCACAGGACCCCTGGCGGCGCTTCGTGTTATGCTCCTCTAGGCGCTCCCTTCTGCTTCCCTGACCTTCTCTTCAGAGCTCCTCACATCCTCTCTGCTTCCGCTTTCTTTCCCACGGCTGATCTGTTTACCGGATTTGTTTTCTTGATGCCCGTGCAGAATTGCACAGTTTTATCGTGCTAGCTGCAACGCCGCATTCTGCTTACAGGCCAACCCAGGACGTTTCCCAGGACCTCCCCGAGGCCCCCCCCCTCTCAGACCTCACCTTCCCCATTGAGATCCGCCGTCATGAAAGCAGCATCACGTAGTATGACATCTCAGCCAGAGCCCTGGGGCGAATTGGCACTTCCTCGACGAGGAGGCGCTTCCTCGAGGAGGAACTGGCGTATCCTCTAGGAGAGCATGGCTGTTCCTCGAAAATACGGCGTTTCCTCGAGGAGGTAGATGATGAAGATGAGGAGGAGGAGGAGGAGGAGGAGAAGGAGGAGGAGGAGGAGGAGGAGAAGAAGGAGGAGGAGGAGGAGGACGAAATGGCGTTTCCTTCGAGGAGGTGGCGACCCACCCTGCTGGCGACGCCCCCTTGGCACTCCCCCTCCGCCTCCTCCCCCTCCGCTTCCGCCTCCGCCTCCTCCTCCCGCCTCCGCCTCCTCCTCCTCCTCTTCCTCCACCTCCTCCTCCTCCCCCACCTCCTCCTCCTCCTCCTCCTCCTCCTGCCCCTCTTCCTCCCCCATTCCTCCTTCTTCCCTTTCTCTTCCCCCTCCTTCTCCCCCTCCGCTTCCCCCTCCCCCCCGCTGCCACCGCTCCGACGCCCCTTGCGGCCACCGCGCAGCGGGCGTGGCCACCTGCTGGGGGACCCCGCGCGCGGCGCAATCGGCGGCCGCCGCCATCTCGGCCCGAGGCTGCGCGGGGGGGGGGGGCGAGGCCGCCGTCTCCTCCTCCTCCTCCTCCTCCTCCTCCTCCTGCTCCTGTTCCTGCTCCTGCTACTCCTCCTCCTCCCTTTTCTCCTCCTCCTCCTCCTCCTCCTCCTCCACCTCCTCCTCCTCCTCCTCCTTTTCCTCCTCCTCCTCCTCCTCCACCTCCTCCTCCTCCTTCTCCTCCTCCTCCTCCACCTCCCTCCTCCTCCTCTCCCCCTCATCTCCCCCTCCCTTCTCCCACTTCTTCTCCCGCTTGTCCTTCTCTTCCCCCTCCTCGCTCCTCCTATTCCTACTCCTCCTCCCTCTTCCCCCTACTCCTCTCGCTCCTCCTCTTGCTCCTCCCCTCCCGTTCCTTCTTCTCCTTCTTCTTCTCCTCTTGCTCTTCCTCGTATTCGGACGGTCGCTTACATGTCCAGTGCCTTGTTGCCTGCCTTGCTCACAGCGTCCTTGCCTGTGCCTACGGGGGTCGCTTCCGCTGTCACTCACAGATTGCAACTTCCGCGCACCAGAAGGACAGCGCCCCCCCGCGCCCTTCGTCCCGGGCCATTTCGAATTGTGTTCGATAGGCTCGGGGGGCCCTCGTCGTCACAGCAACCGCCTGCGAGTGCCGCCGTCAACGTCAGACCGTCGAACGACCCGGCTTCCACGTTCACGGTGTCGGCAGAGGGCCCCGAGCTACGCGCAATTGTGTTGCGAGAGCCCGAGGAGGAAGAAGACACATATGTATCGCCCTCCTTGCATCCGCATGTGGGTGCAGCTGGCTATGTCAAGCAGTCGCTCGATCAGAGCCGTGGCGGCGAGGACGGCTCCCCCCGGGACAGCAAGAGGCCCAGACAGTTCATGACCTTTTCTTCCTCCTGCCTTCTCCTCGCTGTTCCCCATCCCTCGTCCAGAGGTTCCTGCAGGCCGGGACGTTCCTGAAAGAATCCGGAGGCCACCACAGGCCCGAGCAGGGCTGGAATCGGACCTGCTCTTCCCTGCTCCCCTCCTCCTGCTCTTTCTACTCCTTCCTTTTTACTCCTTCCCCTTCCCCCTTCTCCCTCCTCCTCCTCCTCCTCCTCCTCCTGCTCCTCCTCCTCCCCCTCCTCCTCCTGCTCCTCCTCCTCCTCCCTCTCCTCCTCCTGATCCTCCTCCTCCTCCTGCTCCTCCTCCTGCTCCTCCTCCTGCTCCTCCTCCTCCTCCTCCTTTTGCTCCTCCTCCTCCTCCTGCTCCTCCTCCTCCTCCTCCCATCCTCCCTCCCTCCCTTTCCTCCCTCCGTGCATCCCTCCCTCCGCCCCTCCCTTCCCTCCCACCTTCCATCCTGCTCCTCGTCCCCCTCCTCCCTCCATCCCTGCCTCCTCTGTTTCGTCCTTTTCCTCCTCCTTCCTTTCCTCCTCCTCCTCCTCTTCCTCCTTCTCCTTCCTCGCTCCCTTCCTCCCCCCCTGTCCATATGCGCAGCGCCCTATATGCACACATCTTGTGGCCACGTCTCTCCTCCCCGCACCCTGAGTCTTCCAGTAGTGGTCAACGGCAACGCACCGTGAAGATGCCGAACGGCGACTGCAACGAGTATGCTTCGAACTTGATCATGTTTTGAATTCGCCCCGTGCCTGGCTGCGCGCCACTGAACGACGGTGACTACTGGGGCCCATTCTTGTTGCGAAACCTGACGAATTTACGGGTGTTGCACGTTATCTCCACAAGCTGGTTGGCACTTTCGACTTCTCGGCCACGCCACCGCCAACTTGTTGCATGCTCCGGTGGGCCGCACGTCGTTTTTTAGATATTCCCCGCACCTTTCATGGAATTGATGGGTTATTGTATGGCGCATGGGGTGCAGAGGAGAACGTGCTGGTTGTATTATTGGACATTCCATGCTGGACGATGAACGGTGGTATCTTCAATCTAGTTCACGCCTTGACGCTGCGATATTTCTTGCCCAATGGTGTCGATCCGGATGGCCCCAACCGTGGCGGTGTCAGTGGCAGCCCCGACAAACAAATGTACACTTTGCGTGTGAAACACCGACGTCAACCTTGTGAGTGCGACGCTGAACATTTCGATGCGGGCGGTTGCGCACCGTGCTGCGCTTCGCTCGCTTGAGGATTCGCTGCAGGGTGTAATTTCTGTGTGAACGTGGTCGAAATCCTCCCGCGTGATGCCTGGCCACCCCGACGCTCTGCAGCTGAAGCCGTCCATTCTCATGCTGGACGTCTGTCGGTTATTCCTTTCTCTTAAACAGCAGTTATGCAATCAGCGTTGGCTGCTCTACGGATGCCGGGGGGATTTCTTTTTGCAGTTCGGGCTTGATCTACTTCTGCCGTAGCTATCTCTCGACTGGGAGGGGGCGTTGTATTTTTAACACTATCTGCCTTAAGCTGGGCATCATCCAGGGCTGCGCAGTGAGTGGCAGCCCATCTGCATTTTCAACGTGTTGCTTGGCCCGCGATTTGGAGCCTATCTACGAAGAGCGTCGAGAAGGCCATGTTCAACCATGCGCCGACGAAGTCGGTAGAGTGGTGGCCGCATTAGGCCTGCTGCATCGGTATTGCATTATTGCTCTAGCAAGGCGCATCGTTGGCTTGGCGTTCAATGCTGGAGAATTCGGGCTTGTCCCTTTCTGGTCAGAATTTTTAGCGTTGCTCTGGTGTCGTTGGTCAGGAAATTTCTGGCAGCTGTGTTTCCAGATTGGCGCGATTTAGGTGGCGCTGATCGTTTTCTCTATTTGGGCGTGTGGCTGAGCCCCTGCGTAGCAGTAGTGGATGCCTGGTCCTCCACGTGGGGGAAGTTCTATCAGCGAACTTCTGGCTGAAGCAGGCCTTCCGATATCGTATTCGGCGATGGTGCTAAGAAATCGTTCCCAGTGGTTGCTTCTCAATGCGCGAGCAGGTCTTCCACCTGATGGCTGTCCTTTGCCGGTTCCCGTCTGGGTCGTTTCGATTGCTGGATTTTGTCGCGCTGCACCAGTGGTTTGGTCCGATCATCCGATCGCCGCTTCTTGCTTATAGCACCAGTTGCCTGATCCGCTCTTCCTTTGATGCGTTGGCAGTCAACAGGCGCATCGTAGCCTTTGTGCGGCGCACAGGTTCCGACGTGGGTGACGGCCGCTCGTTGATGTAAATTGACACCTCGTACCCGAACATCTGACAGATGAGGTCGTTTGCCGAATACCTTGCCGCCCCCGCCGCTGGGCGACCCCTGAGTCGCCATCATGCTAGCGAGTCGATTTAAGATGCCGTAGTGGCCGCCCGCGTCGTCTGCAGCGGCTGGTGTTCGCACAGATCACTCATCATTTGCTTCTTCCCTTGCTGATGCCACTTTTCGGGTCAAGGTTACTTCGGTCGTGGGCCTTAACGCCACGCTGGGACAGTTGCGGTGCGTCTTTGGGTGCAAAAGGATGTTGGGACCAAGAGTCCGATGCGGAATGTCCTGTGCTTGATTCGACTTTTATCACATGGGCGGGCGAATTCTTCCCCATCGACCCTTTCGATCGTTGGGGGCTGAAAGGAATGTGCGAGGCTCTCCTGTTTTACTTTACGCAAGATGTGCGTCGTGAGCTCGTCGGAGATGCACGCGGTGCGTACTGTGAGAACTTCTCGTGTTCGCGTGATTTCTTTTTGCCAAGACTCGCCCCGATCGTGAATGACGTCCTGCGCTTTCGCATCGATATCGGCGTGCTGGGCCTTGTGCTCTCCAGCCACAACCACCTGCTCTCGATCATGCTGGTCGCGATGCACCCCTGACTCAGAGCGACGCGCCCTCCGGAGCTGCGCTGGCGGACGCTCAAGTGGACCATTTTGTGCCCGGAAGCGCTGAGGATGTGCAACATAAGATTGGTGCCGATTCATGTATCTTGTCTTCCTCCCTTGATGTGAACTCGGATGATATCGCTGAGTTGCGCCTGCACCGCCCCTGTGCGGACACCGCTTCTGCGCTGGGAGTTCTTCGTCTTTATCGTTGCCAGAAGCAGCTTCCGCACGAGCGGAACCGATGTTGAATGAGACAGGCTGCAACCTACGCCATGGTTCAAACGAGCCCTTGGGTTTATTCAACGGTTTACCCGTCGCGTCCAGACCAGCTCATCATGGTCAGTATTCTGAGGTGACTGAGCTGCAGCCGCCTGCTGCCACCTCTCTTGCACCCATGCCGGCATCTTCGGCGCCGTAGGCGGGGAGACCCGAGCTCTCTCCGACGCCCCATCCCTCCCTCCCTCCGGGCTGCCGATCGCCCGCGATCGCCCTGTCGAAGATGGGCCGCGCGCTGGGGGCGGCGCTCTGCGGGTATCCGGAGGCGGCCCCCCTGCAGGACGCTGCGGCGACGGCCGCGACCGCGTCAGCGCCGATCGCAACCGCGCCGACGGCGGCGCCGACGCCGACCGTATGACGACCCAGGCGCTGACATCGACAACGCCGACGGCGACGCCGGCGACGCCGACGCCGACGCCGACCACGATGCCGACGACGACCACGACGCCGGCGCCAGCGCCGGCGGCGGCGACACCCCAGGACGCCGTGGGCGGCCTGCCGAAGGGGTTGCGGCGCCCCGCAGCGGGGGGCGCGCCGTCGTCCTTCTTCCTGGCGGGTATGCTGGGCCGCCGGGTGAAGAACATAGGCGGCCACGACCCGGGCGGAGAGATTCACCCAGATGTTCGACGGTGTTTTTTTTTTCAATCCAGGCGTTTGTTCCCGACTTCGGCCCCTGGGGCCCGTCCTCGGGCTCTGGGGCCACCAGACATGGATCCAGGGCGAGAAACTAGAAGGGGAAGGGACTTCTGGGGTCGCGCATTGAACAACTCATATCGCCAGATGTCTGGGTGTGCACATGCACCCGTCCTGTCCTGGCCCATGCTGGGCCCACGATTGGTGCATAATTATGCCTTCGTGGTCAACCCAAGAGGGCGTATGCACTGGTCCTGGGCTCCGGATGGTTCTGGGCAGGACCGGTTCATGCGCGTACAGTAGACACATCAAATAAGAAGTCGGCTTGCCAGCTGGCGCCCCGCGGGAGTTTCTTATCCTCCGGTGGCCCAGGGGACCCGCAGAAATTTTGGGGCACCCTGGAATCCTCAGACACCAATGGAGAATGTGGCCCAAGTTGCCTTACAGAAAGATCTCTTATCGCATGTGTCTACTGTTGTCTTCTTTCTTGCAAAGGCGCTGGCTACAGCGCCGACGGCGCCGACGACGAAGACTCAGCCGATGCCGCCGCCGACGACGACGACGAGGACGACGACGGCGACGAGGCCGACGACGACGAGGCCGTGTGGACGGCGGCGACGACGACGACAGCGCCGACGAAACCTACGACGGCGGTGGCCAGCAATGCGCGGCGTGGATGAGGAGAGATGGGGGAGGAGAGGAAGGGACGTGGGAGGAGCGAGGAGGTGGAGGAGCGAGGAGGGAGGAGGAGGATCAGGGGTAACGTTAGGTAGGATAGACTCGGGGGGGATGCATCGGTCCCCAATCCCCCGTTGATCGGCGACGGAGGCCTGGTTGGCCACCCCCCCAGGACACTGCTTTCACTATCGAGGGCCTATTGCCGATCCATCAGCCATGTATCGCCGGTTCCAGCTCGATGCTCTGCCCCTGAGCCAGTCCCCCCCCGACGTTCCCCTTCAGAGGAAGAAGAGAAGGAGGACGAGGAGGAGGAGGAGGAGAAGGAGCGAGGAGGAGAGGAGGAGGATGCGTGAGGAGGGGAAGGAGAAGAAGAGGCAGGCGCTTTCTCGATGATGAAGTGCCGTTTCCTGTCCTCGTGAGGTGCCACGAGAACTCGGCTGAAGGCTCGAGGGTTTCGCGGGGAGGAGGAGGAATCTGACTCGTCCTCGACAGGAGTCGAGGCGGTGGTAGTGCTTGTGCCTCTCACCAGGAGGCAGCCTGTTCGGCTGTCTTGCGAGCCTGTGCGGGCTTCGTGGCCCTACAGGAAGCTATGCCGAAGGTCCCAATGGCAAAGTCAGAATAGTGGCGCCGAGCCCATTCCAGCATTCTCCTCACACGGTGCGTGACCCAGCTCAGCCGAAGGCCACAGTGATAAGGCACGGATAGCGCATCGAGTCCATTTCGTTTCGCCACATCCCTCATATGTTCCATGGACCCACAGAGAGCTCCAAGAAAGGCTGCAGTGGCAGGGTTCGCATGCCGCCTCGGATCCATGTCGGCACACCCTTCACGTTTCGTGGCCCCGAAAGCCCCAGTGGCAGGGTTCGCATGGCGCTTCGGGTCCATTTCGGCACGCCCTTCACACGTTTCGCGGACCTCTAAGGAGCGCCACCGAAGGCCCCAATGGCAGGGCTCGTATGGCTGCAACCCAGCCAAGATTCGCGCCCCAGTTCCTAGCCTACTTGCGACTTGCCTCGCGGTACTCGCAGCTACATTTGGTTGGGCCATTTGCCAGGCTAATTGTCACGTCGTGGGCCCCCTCGGCCCTTTCCTGTCTTGAGTATTTTTCCTTGTTCCGTGGGCCCGAGACAATGCCAGGCCCAGCCTTACCTTGCATATCCCGGAGAGGCCCAGACGTTTCCGTAACTGGCTATATGCTTGGTGCTCCGTCGTGGGGCCGATGGGAGTTCGACATGACTCCAGCATATATTGTTAAGACCTGACGGCTGGTGCCGCCGATCCTGAAGACGCCGATGACGACGACAACGACGACGACGATTACGACGACGATTATGACGACGAAGACGAGAATTCCGACGACGATTACGACGCGCTGATGGCTCTGGCACAGTCTCCGGTCAGGTGGTGGTGGTGGTGGGGGGAGGAGGAGGAGGAGGAGGAGGGGGAGGAGGAGGAGGAGGAGGAGGAGGAGGAGGAGGAGGAGGAAGAAGAGGAAGAGGAGGCAGAAGAGGAGGAAGAGGAGGCAGACGAGGAGGTGGAGGAGGAGAAAAACGTCTGGACCAAGCGGGTTTGGACCCATGCGCGCACGCCCTCAGGTGGGCCAGCCGCGTACTGAACGAGACACTTCGATATTGTCGAGGCCTTGCCCCACCACGTCAGGCATGGCTCATCATTATCATGGTTCATCTTGTGTTCGCGCAGTTGCCACAAAAACCATTCGCAGGGTTGGGAATCTAGCTTGTACGCGCAAGATTCCTCCTACTTGGGCTGACATCGAAACAGTTTGGCTGAAAACTGCCCAGGATTCGTCACAACAATCTTGCAAGCAGCAGCAGCGAAACAACTCTTGGCAGTGGAGCATCAATGCTACTGGCTTCATTCCTGTTGTAGCAGATAACGGTATGCAGGTCACGTTCATCCCTCGCGGCCAGGATCTCCAGACAAGGTTTCTTCTGCCACCATACCAGTTTAGTTTGCCACCACTTTGTCTGGTGCCACCTCCGCCGTCTACGGTTCCGCCGCACTCTGCGTCAGTGGAGCTGCCGCCGCCACCGGAAGATTCTGCGTCAGATGTCAGATCCAAAGCGAAAGTTTAAGTCGACAGTACGATCGGGAATGTTATTAGCCACGCGCACAGTGGATTGGCACTTTGTCCTGTAGGAAGTATTGTCGACGACGCCTCCCCCCACGATCGGACACAGCGAGTTCGAGGCGACGCAGCAATGCAGAACTGCAGGCAGCACGCCAATAATGTTGCACGTGGGAATGACCAGGCCACGGTTGTCGGACGTTGTGATCACGAATATGACACCCCGTCGAAAAAATGATGACGATACAAGTACCACTACCGTCAGTTTTGGGAAACCAGTGCGCTCGGTGCGCCTACAAGATAAGAGTACCCTCAACGTGGCGGAGGGCGAACTTGGCAGTTCGGACCCGTTCACAGGGCGATGGCAGGTGCTTGCCAAAAGCAACAACGCAGCGCGTGTCAATTACGACGGTATCGAGTTCATCAAAAGATCGAGATCGATGTTGCTGGGCGGCTTCAAAAATGCGGCCATCAAATTGAATCGTGAACGGTGACCTTGCATCGAAAAAGTGTTCTGCCACACTTGGGAACGAGGGGGCTATGCGGGAGGTGTCGAACAGTTGGTGTTGGGCGTCTGCACTAACGAGGCACGCTTTTATGCACTATGGAGCGCCGCGACTTCGTAAACATTCCATCGCTCGCATCCGCAATCATACGTTGTCAGCCGTGTCTCGTTTGGGCGATTCACTTATGTTTTTGCTGTTGTATGTTCGTTCCTACGTGGCACGCCCCGATGCGCGCGTGCGCTGCGCGGTCGTAGTGCGCGCGCCCTTCATCATCTTGCACGCGCGGTGCACGCAGCGCGCGGCGGCGGCGGGGGAGGATCTATGCGTGGAGGAGGATAGAAGCTGCCGGCGCCGCTGCTATTTCCAACCCTCGGGGCTCAAGAGACGGGGGTCGATGCAAAAGGGGGCCAGCCAGGGCACCGAATCCTGCAGGATCCTGCGAAGACCCCCTCTGGCCGACACGGGTTAGCGAGCCGCGAGGCGGCCGCGCATGTTGGCTGACCCTGGTTAGCGAAGACCTGCGCCGCAGTTTTTTTTCCTGCATTGCAGTTTTTGGGTTTCCGCTGACCCGGGTCTGGATTGACCCGGGTCAGAAAGTCCCCGAAACCCCGGCGAGGGCAATCGCGGCACACGAATGATGTTGTCAGCGATGCCGAGGAGAGCCCGCTCGCAAGTTTAAGCCGCGAGCGATGGGCTCCCATTCTTCCCCAGCTCTCGCAGTTGATTGCCTTTTTTCACGTGGTGTTCGTTGTTCATACCGTACTTTGCTCCACGCGCGTTGCGCACTGCGTGGCGGAGGGGGCGGTGGAGAAGTTCGTGGAATGGTGGGGGGGGAGAGGAAGTTGCCGGCGTCGTTGCTAGTTTCAACCCCAGCGAGGGCAATCACATTACTTTTAAGATTTGGAGTGTTTATGCCTAGGAGAACCCGCTCGCAAGTTTAAGCGAACCCTGGGTTTCCATTTCGCCGCAGCTCTCGCCGGCAATAACTTGTTGCAGCTGATGTTCGTTGTCCATATCGCACTTTGTACATGCGTGGCGCGCGCTGTGTGGTGGAGGAGGAGGTGGTGGACTCCTTCGACAAGGAGTTCCTATGATGTAAGGATGTGGAGGCAGACGAGGATCGTTTACAGCATGCTTCTGTCTCGGGTCAGCCGGCGCCGTCCGAGCTGGCTTCCCGCGACCGCGAACCGCGCTTTCACGTTGCCACTTAATTCGGCCAGCCAGGCGATATTGGCCTGCCTGACACTTCGGCATGCTGTCGCAGGGGCGGAAGGGGATATCCGATGTTTATTAGAGGTTGGGGGAGGAGATCGCCCTCGCCACGCCAAAGCGATGCAGCGTACTCTTGTCTCTCTGCTGCCCCCAGCTGACCTGTATGTACTGTTTCCCGCCGTCGCGCGCTGCTGCAGTGCCAGGGCCTTTTCTGTAGTTGGCCACGTTTCACGAGCGGAACACGCTCGCTCCGAATGTTGTTCCAACGTAAACGGAGGAGGAGAAGGAGGTTGATAAGGAAACGGAGGAGGGGGAGGAGGAGGAGGAGGAGGAGGAGGAGGAGGAGGAGGAGGAGGAGGAGGAGGAGGAGGACGAGAAGAAAGAGAAGGAAGAGAAGGAAATGAAAGAGGAGGAGGAGGAGGAGGAGGACAAGGAGGAGGAGGAAGAAGGGGAGGAGGAGGAGGAGGAGGAAAAGGAGGACGGCGGGGGGGGGAGAGGAGGAGGAGGAGGAAAAGGAAACGGAGGAGGAATGTTGGCTGGCCGTTGAGGCGAAAACGCCCTAATTAGCAAATTCTAGACGCTTCGCGTATCCCCACCAGCACCGCCTGCCGCTGGCGCTTCCGCCTGCGGCTGTAAAAAAAAAGTATCCCCACCAGCCCGTCCAGAAACGACGCCCAGGCGAGTAGAGGGTCGTCTTGAGGGGCTTTTCGGCGTCTTGGGTGCCTCGGGGGGGCCTCTGTGGGCCGTTCGGGATCCTCTTTGGGGCCTCCTGGGGGCCTCTTGGGGCCTCTTGGGGCCATCTTCGGGCCTCTTGGGGGTCTCTTGGGGGCCTCCTGGGGGCCTCTTGGGGGGCCTCTTGGGGCCATCTTGGGGCCATCCTGCGGCCTCTTGGGGCATCCTGGGGGCCTCTTGCGGCCATCGTGGAGGAAATCGATCAAAGAAGAGGGGAGCCTTAATTAGCGTTGCCCCCTGAGAAGGCCAAAATGGGGCCAAAACCATAGTAAAATCAATGTTTTTGGCTTCCTCGCCGAGGCCGTTTTGGACGCTCTGACCGCTCCCCGCACCTCCTGTCCAGGTCAGTGGGGAGGGGGTAGGGGGAGGGGTAAACCCCTCCCCAAAGGGGAAGAGGGAGGGGTGGAAGAGGAAACTCGTTAAACCACCGACGCCCAGAGGGCTGGTGGGATTTGGGAGAACCGATGATTGTTGCCTCTTGGGGCTATCTTTCGAATGCTCTTGGAGATTATTTGAGCGTTTTGGAGGCCTCTCGGGCCGTCTGGAGGCCATGTCTGGCGTCTTGGATTGATTGTTCCGCGATTCGGGGCCCTCTTGGGCCATCTTGGGAGCTGTTCGGGGCAGTCTTGGCCCGTCTTGGGGGTATTTTCGGCTGCAAGATAGCCCGGGAGATATGGTATTTTGACCCAGGACCCCCCCGGGGGGGAAGTTATCAAAGGGACGAGTTTCTTTTTGAGTCAATAACGGCATTGCTCAAGCTCGGTTTGGTTTCGCATTGGCTGGCGCGCTTGAGGTTTCGGTTCGGTTTCGCTGTGGCTTGCGCGCTGGAGGAGGAGGGCCCGCTGAGTGCGACGACGATGACGACGACGAAGACGACGACGACGACGAGGACGACGACGAGTCAGACATAACGACGACGACGCGGATTTCGACGACGGCGGGTCAGACAGAACAGCGTTTTCCACACGCCGGCATGGTCGGCGGACTCGTCGAGCATTCGACGTGTATGCACCGCGGATCTTCGACGCATTCGACATGCATTCGAAGCGGATTCCACGCGGATGCTAGCGCGATTGGACAAACATTGTCTTCCGAGAACGCAACACGAATAGCCCCCGTGGACGGCCAGGCGTCGCGAAAGAGGGCATCGAGCGCCAGAGCAACAGCCTGGGGTACTGGGGCCCCGAGCCGGCCACGACGGCGAGCGGCTGGGCGAGCAAGGCGTTCCGGGCCTCGCAGGCCGCCAAGGCGGCGCAGGCCTTGCTTGGGTGGCAGCGGGGAGCTCGGAGGGCGTCCGAGTTGGCACCTTCACCGATCCTGGCGCCAGGCCGATCCTCGGTCCACATCGGTGCACACGCCCTCCCGGCCTGGGCGGGGAGGCAGCTGCACGGGTCCCTGGGCCGAGGAGGAGCCTGGTCAGGAGCGGTGCAGGCGCAGAGGCGGCGTGCTCCCAGGAGAGGCCGGTGGGGTAGCCCAGACCTCTTCGCGGAATGAGAGGTCGAGGATCAGGGATGGAGATTGGGGCTTCGTAGAGGGAGGGTTCTCAAAAGGTGGGGCTGGGCAGCGGGCCCAGCTGGATGCTCCTGTTCAACGCGTTGCCCTCTTCCAGAGGCCGTTCGTAGTGATCCCCCATCAGAGCTTGCCTCTGTAGGTGTAGGGGTCCTAGCAGATTCATATGGTTAGGTGAGGTTCGCCGCAGATTTCGGTGGCCGGCCCGGGTGCCCAGTAGCTCTACAGCCCTATAGCCTTATAGACCTGTAGCCCTATAGCCTTATAACCCTATAGCCCTAGTAGCCTTACAGCCCTATAGCCATATAGGCCTATAGGCCTAATAGCCGCATAGCCCTATAGCCCTATAGCCCTAATAATCCTATACCCCTATACCCCTAATGGCCCTATAGCCCTACAGCCGTATAGCCCTAATAGCCGTATAGCCCTAAAGCCCTATAACCCTATAGTTTTATAGCCCTCTAGCCCCATAGCCCTATAGCTCCATAGATAGCCCTATAGCCCAGTCGCCCTGTAGCCCTATAGCCCTTATAGCCCTGTAGCCCTATAGCCTTAAGGCCCTCTAGCCCTCATAGCCATGTAGCCCTATAGCCCTATAGCCCTATACCTCTATACCTCTATATGCCTATAGCCCTATAGCCCTATAGGCCTATAGCTGTGTGGTTCCATAGCCCTATAGCCCTAAAAAGATGATGCTTGTTTTTTTTCTCCGGTCTCATTTTCTTTCAACCCCACATTTGCCAATACACCACCTGAGTTCCGGTGTGATTTTTGGATCTGATTGGGGTCTGTGGGAGGGGCTTCTCGTGGCCATGGACGGGTCGGCCTCGCGATTCAAGCCGCAGCGCATCCCAGGAATTATCCTAGGGCACAAGTTAGACCCTCGGGCCCATACCCCTTGACGTCGTGAAAAAGGAGGTCGGATGCTAGATGTTCGGCCTCTCGGGACCCTTACCGGACCCTGGGACTGTCAAACTACGGCTTGGAATGAAAGGCCCGTCTGGGGCAAGAGGTCGAGAGATCCAGGGGTCCATGTTTGGTGGGCGTCCGAGAGGGGGGTGAGGATTACGGGGTGCATGGCAGGCGCCGTGGACTCTGCTCGATGTTATGATCACATGTTCTTCTTCTTCTTCTTCTTCTTCTTTTCCTTCTTCTTCTTTCCACCCCCCCCCGGTCCCCCCTCCGCAGACGACTTGTGCACCGTACCGCGCGGGCCTCGCCCGAGGCGCAGTCGATCCTCGACCCAGGAGCGGTACGGTGGATATTATCTCGGCCCCCAGGGCAGAACAAGTCTTCACCGTGCTGTTTTGGAGCGGGGCCGCAAGGGAGTCCAGACCTGGCACGGTGCGTGGGCGCCGTGTTCGTACCACCCTCGTCCGCGCACATGCCGCGGGCCATGCTGCGCCCCACCCCCCCCCCGCCACCCCTCCTCCCAGCGCTGCCCGCCTCGGTGCCCGCGAGCGTCGCGTGGCCAAGGAGCGAGGGTGCTCTCGGCAGGGCAGCGGCCTACGGCGCGGCAGTGGGCACGCGGGGGGGGGGGCGCGCGCCGACGGCCTCGGGGGGGCTCCCCCCCCGGCAGTGGAGGTCGCTCGAGATTTCCAGCGTTTCGTAACGAGGGGAGGGGGAACCACAGAAGGAGGCCGTCGAGGGTTACAGGCGGCCTCCCTGGAGGCCCGAAGGCGCACGGAAGGTGCACCCTTCTTCTCTCTCCCCCGACTACGGCCCCCATCAAGCAACGCCCGAAAATTCGGTGTTCTTCAGGACGTGTGTCAATCCAGAGTGTGTGTGTGTGTGTGTGTGTGTTGTATGTGTCTTTGTGTGAGACCAGCGCTGTAGCTGTTCTCCCCCTCTCCCGCGGCCGTTCCTCCCCCCACCTTGTCCACTCCTGCTGCCGGCAATTCGCAGTGCCGTCACCTGGCTTGCCCCAGCGCGCGTGCGGACTGCCTCTGCCGCGCTGCGACGTAAGAAGTCTGTGTGTGTGTTTGTGTGTGTGTGTGTGTGTGCGTGCGTGCGTGTGTGCGTGGCTGCCGCCCCCCCCAGCTGCTGCCCGGCGCTGCGGCTGCCCCCCCCCGGCGCTCCCTTCGCCGCAGCCAGCTGGTCTTGCCTGAGCGGGCCCGCTTCCTCTCTTCCCATCGCGCTGGGGTGTCCTCCTCTCCTCACGTGCACTGCGGCCCAATTTGCATCTAGCGCGCCCCACTGATGCCCGATCGCTGGAGCAGTAACCTCTGCTTAGCCGCCGACGCAAAAGTGTGTGTGTGTCTATGTGTGTGTGGTGTGCGTGCGTGTATGTGTGTGTGTACGTGTGCGTGTGTGTGTGTATGTGTGTGTGCGTGTGCGTGTGCGTGTGCGTGTGTGTGTGTGTGTGTGTGTGTGCGTCTGTGTGTGCGTGTGTGCGTTTGTGTGCGTGTGCGTGTGCGTGTGTGTGTGTGTGTGCGTGTATGTGTATGTGTGTTGCCCCGTCTACAGCACGCAGCCCGTGCTCGCCCTTCTGAACTTCACCTCCTGCGTAGTATTGAAGGGCTTCGGTGCACAGGCACACGTTGGCGACAACACCCGTTCGGAGGATCATCGAAAGACAGCGATTCAGGGGCGTCACGAGCGAGAGCTGACGTCGTCAAGGCACGAGCTGGCCGTGACGGGGACAGCGCTAATGCCCCAGCATTTTTCGGAGCCTCAGGGACAGCTCCAAGACGCTTCAGGGCGACTTTGGAGGACGCCTCTTGCTCATCCTCCTCCTCATCCTCCTCTTCCCTCGGGGAACCTAAGACTCGAGAGTTCGCCGGAACTCGGGTGTGCCGACGCGATTCGATTGTCCCGTGATGACGTTAGACGATCCAGTGTCCGGAGCCAAATTTCAGACTGGGCCTCGTAATTCTTCAGACGGCCCCGTCAGGCCAAAATGAGTCTCCCAACATCGAGTCTTACGTCCCCCCCGTAGTCTTTAATCAAATGCCGGCAGCAAGCTCTGCGCCACCGTGACAGCGCAGCACTCCGTGCGGGGACCGCTGATGGCCCAGATGGGCTGCTATCTTCTGGCAGCTCTCGTCCCGAGTTTCGTGCGGGCAGCAGCGTGCGGCACGCTCTCTTCGCAGGCTCGACAAGGCCGTAATGTGCGGTACGGTAGGCACATGCGATGAGAAACTTTGCTATGAGGAACTCCAGAGGCACATCCTTCGTCGACTCTGAGCTCCGCAGGGTGCCCCAGGCAAAAAGATACGGCATCATCGTTGGGCACCCGTCAGCAGGCCAGTTTCTTTCCTGGTGCGCCTACTGTAGCTGTCTCTGTCGGGGCCGCCACACGCAGCATCGACGCCATGATCCTGTTCCTCGCCCTCCTGGCGTCGGAGCACCCGTGGGCGCCCTGAGGAGTTGGATGCAGTGCGCGATGTCGGGCGCGGCTGGAAGCGAGGGGGAGAGGTGCTCGCCTTGGGGAAGCTCAGAGGGAGGCCCCACCAGACAGCACCCGGCACTGTGCCGCTCCGCCGCGTGACGGGGTGGATTTGATCTTCTCCTCCCTTGCCCCCTTTCTCCTCTCTCCTCCCCTTCCCTCCTCCCGTTCTGCAGTCAACGCGCGTGTGAATCATGAGGAGCGTTCCCGAGGATACCCTTGCATCCTTGCCCCTTCGGCCCATCCCTAGCCAGCCCTTCGCCCAACACGCTCCTGCATGGAAGTCCAGGGGGCGTGCGTCCTTGCCGCGCGCCTTTACCATACAGTGGGGGCGCGCTTCAAGAAACCGGCTGTCCTTCGCCAGGGCACCTCGGGGTTTCTTTGGCTCGCGCTGCGCTGCGCGGTGACTTCCCGCTGGCTTTCCGACATTGCTGCGTGCAGGGTGCTCGGGGTTTCCCCCCCATCGGATGTTGCTAGAAGTGCCCTTGGCCCAAGGTGCCCCCAGGATTTCCATGGAAGCCCCGACGGCATCCAGAGCACCCCTCACGAGGTGGGGTCAGCGAAAAGCTGGGGTCACCGTGGGCCAGGGGCACCATTAGGCACCGAGCGCGTCCACTACTCGCAAACGTGAGAGAACGCACATGTTTGCCTCGGCGTAAAGAATCATACATCCTCCGCGGCGTATCCGGGCCGTTTGCGAGTAGTTGCGAGTCGTGGAATGCGCTTGTCTAGTCAGCACCCCTCCGACCAGTCGCACCCCGCGCGCGGTCTTCCAGGCCTGGGTTTCTTGAGAGGGGTTCTTTCGGCCGCGTCCTTACCGTGCGCGCTGTTCGTGCCACGGAGCCCGCGAGGCTCCAGAATGGGGCGCAAAGCCAGGGCCACCTCGGGCCAGGGCCACCTTTAGCAGCCCCCGACCAGCTGCACCCCGCGCGCGGTCTTTCAGGCTGCACGCCTCACGAAGCCCTGAGGGTCTCAGGGGCGTCGGGGTGGAGCGAAAAGCCGGGGCCACCTCGTGTCAGGGGCACTCTTGGCAACCCCCCACCAGTTGCACCCCGCGCGCGGTCTTCCAGGTTCGGGTGTCTTGCGATGGGGCTGCAGGGGTGGCCACGTCGGAGGGGGCAGGGCGCCTGGGCGGCGGCGACGGCCCTGCGGCATGCGCGCCTGGCTCGCGTGCGCGGCCGCGGCAGCGGTTCACCGGCTCCCGCCCTTCGCTTTGCCGTCGCGCCGAGCCGCCGGGCTCGGCAGGGGCCCCCGCCGAGCCGAGGCATCTCGCAGGGCTGCGTCCTGCGGCCGCTGGCCTCGGCCCCCGCCTCGATCCCGCTCGGTGCTGTTTTTTTTTAGTTCGGAGCCTCCTGCTCCTTGCGCTGCCGCTTTAGGGGCATGAGCGCCCTTCCGACGTGGCCACGCCTGCGTTCTTCCACCGTGCGCGCTGCTCATGCCACCGCGCCCGAGAGGCCGAGGCCGAGGGCGCCCTGAGGGAGGCGGAGCACCACCAGCAGATCGCCGCCTCCTCGGCAGACCAGGCCCTTCTGGAGGAGGAGGATGGAGGAGGCGGCTAGTAATGGAGGAGGAGGAGGAGGAGGAAGAGGAAGAGGAGGAGAAGGAGAAGGAGAAAGAGAAGGAGGAGGGAGGAGGAGGGAGAGGAGAAGGAGGAAGGAGTAGGGAGGAGAGGAAAGAGGGGAGAGGAGGAGGAGGGGGAGGAGGAGGGGAGGAGGAGGGAGGGTGGGGGAGGGATGAGGGGGGGGATGAGGGAGGGAGAGGAGGAGGGCAGGGAGGGAGGGAGGGAGGAGGAGGGAGGGAGGGAGGAGGGGAGGAGGGAGGAGGGGAGGGGGGAGTGAGGGGAGGAGGAGGAGGAGGAGGAGGGGGAGAGGATGAGGAGGAGGAGGGAGGGACCCAGAGGTCTGACGCTCCCAAACAAGTGGAGCGGCCAGTTCTTGCCGTTTCCGGCCTCAGAGGGCCCCCGCCAGACCTCGGGGCCGTCAAAGAACGATTCAGGACGAAAAATCGGGCCTTAAGGGAGTTGGTGGGTGTCTGTGGAGCGGGGATGGAGCGGGTGGAAAAGTCGACCTCCGGGGCCCACGCATCGAAGAGTCGACCTCTGGGGCCCCCGCATTGAAGAAATAGGAGCGGGGGGATGTCTGGGGAGGCGAGGGGCCTCAGGATGTGTAGCAGAGAGAGTTGGTGGCCTCACCCCCTTCCTCCCCCTATCTGGAAAGGATCCCCCGGTGGTGTCTGGGGTGGCCCCGCCCTCGCGCCCGGTCGTCCGACCGGCCCGCCGGGGGGCCGCGGGCGCGCCAGCGCGGCAGGGGACGCCCGATGGCGTTTCGCAGGTAAGGCGGGCAAGCTGAGATAAGACAGCGACCCGAAACCGGTCGTGCCTCGAGGTCGGAGGCACTGTCGCCTCCCGCCTCTGAGGCCTGGGAGAGGAGGTGTTCCCCAAGGGCTCCTACCCGAAGTGGAGGAGGAGGAGGAGGAGGAGGAGGAGGAGGAGGAGGAGGAGGAGGAGGAGGAGGAGGAGGGAGGTGGGAGGTGGGAGGAGGGAGGAGGTGATGTTGTTTGCAGGAGGAGTTAGCAGGAGGAGTAGGAGGTGGAGGAGAAGGAGGAGAAGGAGGAGGAGGAGCAGTTTCAGGAGGATGTTGCAGGAGGAGGATGAGGAGGAGGAGGACAAGGAGGAGGAGCAGGAGGAGAAGGAGGAGGAGGAGAAGGAGGAGGAGGAGGAGATGGAGGAGGAGGAGGAGGAGGAGGAGGAGGAGGACGACGACGACGAGGAGGAGCAGGAAGATCAGGAGGAGGAGCAGGACGAGGAGGAGGAGGAGGAGGACGAGGAGGACAAGGACGAGGAGGAGAAGGAGGAGGATGAGGAGGAGTGTGGGGGCGGCTGGGGCCGAAGGCCTCCGCCAGCCTCCTGCGATGCTTCCGATTGGCCTCCGAATATGCCGCCCAGAAGTGTCCCAGGTGGCCGCCGAAGGCGACGACAACGGCGGATGAGCAGGACGAGGAAGAGGAGGAGGAGGAGGAAGAGGAGGAGAAGATGGGGAGGAGGATGAGGAGGAGGAGGAGGAGGAGGAGGAGGGGGAGGGGGAGGCGTACGAGGCGGCGTAGGAGGAGGGGGATCAGAGGAGGAACAGTTATTCGTACCGATGCCCGTCCCTCGTTTTCATCTTTTTGGACCTCCAGGGAGGCCCTCGTCGCCACCGCTGGATTCGCCTCGAAATTCTGGTCAGACCGCACTCCTGGAGAGGTCCGGAGAGTGGCGGTATCTTCTGGACTCCCCAAGTGGGAGGGGGAGGAGGAGGAGGATGAGGAGGAGGAGAAGTGGATGTGGAGGACGAGGAGGTTGATGAGGAGGGAGAGGTGGAGGAGGATGCGGCGCCGAAGGGAGGATGAGGAGGAGGGGGAGGGGGAGGGGGAAGAAGAGGCAGAGGAGAAGGAGGAGTAGGAGGAGGCGGTTGATGATGATGATGAGGAGGAGGAGGAGGACGAGGAGGAGGCGGAGGTGGAATCTGGAGGAGGAGGAGGAGGAGGAGGAGGAGGAGGATGAAGGAGAAAGAGAAGGAAGAGGAGGCAAAGGAGCAGGATGGGAAATGAGGAAGGGGGCGACGACGACGACGACGACGACGACGACGACGGCGACGGCGATGTCGACGGCGGCGGCGGCGGCGACGACACGAGAACGACGATGGCGGCGGCGACGACAACGACGACGACGACGGCGCGGTGGCTCCCGCGGCTCTAGGGCACCACCCGCTCCAGGCCCCCGCAGTTGTGATTTCGGACCCATTCCCCTGGCCCAGGTTTTCGCCCCGAGTCGTTTTGTCGACTGCCCCTGGGCCCAACGGGGCCCCCCGAGGCCGAGCATCACCGACAACCTTCCGTCGCGATCCTTTCGCGACGCGAGGGGGGTCTGGGGCGCGCCAGTCGAGGGCCTGTCGGGCCGATGTCGGACGAGGATCGACGCGTTCCAGATCGTTCCACAGCGCTCTCAGAGCTTTCGGGAACGCTGTGAGAAGGCCACAACGCCCGATACATCCTCCAGATCCGCCAGATGCTTTCGAGATTCTCGATTGATCCTCACCCGAATTGATCCTCGTCCTAGCTGCGTCTTGCGACGGCGTTGGCAACGGCGGCGGTGGCGGCGGCAACGCCGGGCCGCAAGGCGAAGGCGGCGGCCCTCCAGATGGATCTGGCGGCGCGGAGCTCGGTCGGCAGTGCGCGG